ATAGAGTGTTAATTTCCTACAGACATACCATAATTTACTGAGTTTTTAATTGATTAAACTGCCTGTTTGAATCTTTGCCCTCTCCGGACATATGTATTATTTGCATTTAATATGTTTTTAAATCAAAATAGTCTATTTACTTACTGTGTGGTCTCTGTGCCCTTAAGGCTCCCGGTGGACTCTAGTGGTCAGTGTGCACTGTACATGAGTGGCAGAGGGCCTGGTCTCTGGTGTTTTAGTTTCTGGAAGTATTAATTGCCCTTTATATTGTATTCAAACCTGAGAGGAATTGTATAATATTAAGGAAAATGAATAAGGATTTGTAGGAAGAAATACTTCCAGGAATTGAAGATAAGTTTTTTCCAAAATGCAAAACAACACTCATCTGGCTACTTCTGTTTAATTTGTCAGTGGGCTTTGAGGGAACCACTTAGATACTGAAGTCTTGAAGAGTAAGACTCCTCAAAATACAGGGAGACAGAAGGGGCCATGGTTTCCATGTGTCATCAAGAGATACCTTTATAAAATGTACTTCTTACTCTCACTCCAAATCTATATCCTGTGAATTACTGTAAGCAAATTATATTCTGGCTATTTTGATGATGGTACGTACCAGAGTGAATACTTTGTATGTGACTGATACATAGTCATATAAATGGTTATTCCTCTGGTAGATGTCTCTTAAGACATGAGACAACATGTATATCTTTGTTTTGGTGCATCTGGTCATCATTACAATGTACCTAGGGATAAAATGCTGGAAACATCTATAATAATAAAAGCATGATATGCTAATTAGACCAGACAGCTGAAGGAATCTTCGGTAGTTGGGGCCAAGGCATAGGCGGTTATGGGTGATCAGGCAGGTAGGCGAGCAGTAAGGGGAGATCAGGCAGGCAGGTTAGCAGTTAAGGATGATCAGGCATGCAGAGTGGTTAGGGGCCATCAGACAGGCAGGCAAGCAGAGTGGTTAGGGGCCATCAGCCAGGCAGGCAGGTGAGCAGTTAAGGAGCCGGCAGTACCGGATAGGGAGAGGGATGTCCCACTGCCAGTTTAAGCCTGACCCACAGGGATCCCTGCAGGACCGGGCCTACACTGGCAGTCAGACATCCCCAAGGGTTCCTAGATTGCGAGAGGGTGCAGGCCAAGCTGCGTCCACCCCCTCCCCCCCAACTCCCCGTGCATGAATTTCGTTCACTGGGCCTCTAGTACGAATATAAAAGTATTAGATTAGTGAGGTTTTTTTTCCCAATGTAAGTTTTACTTTAGAATGAACAATTTTATTCCATGATGCTTAGTGAAATGTACCATTTATTTATTTTTTTATTTTTGTTAGGAATTGATTTGTAGAAACATGAATTGAGAAATTTTAGTAATATCACGTTGAGGATTGGCATAAAGATTATGCCAGTTTGTTATAGTGACTTGCCTTAAAATTCAGATTTAATAAAAAGTATTAAGATAAAAATATAGGCTGGGCACCAATAGTTAATATGACTGAATACATTAACTTCATTAATACGTGGGAACTGCTAGCTTTTGCTTTTTACAATGTAACAAGCAAGGACAGGATTTCTTCTTTATAAGATTCTAAATATTAGATTTATTTTGTCTTTTCTGATCTGGTAGATTTATGACATCCTGTTCCTTTATCCTGGCCTTAGCCAACAAAATCCAACTGATCACACACTCTTTACATAACCCCTGCCAAGATTTCAGAATTTTCCTCTGTGCTAAATTTAAATTAGCCATTACCAACCAGTTAGTGTTCACAGACATGAGATCTTAAATGCCATCTTGTCCTGATGGCACTAAGGCATTTAACACCAAAGCTGTAACCGAAATACCAATCTAAGCATTATTTTTACTGCTAGAGCTTCTTCGCCATAAGGCCTTGAGAGGAGGACCTGCTGTGCTCCTTCCTCTTTCATTTTCCATAAATTTTTCTTGTCATGTAATCAGTAATCCACAGTGTTCATTTATAAACTTAGCACAGTGCTTGTCATATACTAAGGACTGGAAAAACTTTAGATAGCTCTGAGATTTAAGATATTTATGAGATTATTTTTTAAAAAATTTTCCACTTAGATGTTCCTTCAGGAGCTACTGTTCCTCTCAGTGTTGCTGATAGGGGTTAACCTGAGGAGAAGGGAACAAAATTGGAGTGCCTGTCCTTGGCAGGATGCTTGATAAGAGTTTTGCATACATTGTGCCATTTAATTTTACCACCATTGTTGTCAGGTATTATTTGTTTTAGAGATAAAGAAACTGAGATCCAGAGAAATAATTTGGTAAGGTCACATTGTATATAAATACGGAACCATCATTTGATTTGAGCCATCAAATTATTTTCTAATTTAAAAATAGACATATCTTCCTCAGTTTTAAAAGTTTACATTATATTCCATCTTATGGATGTGTCATCAACAGATACCTTCAACATGTACCACACAAAGTTCCCTCAGAATTTTTTTCCCCCCTTGAGAATAGGGAATCAAGGTTCCTGAGTATTACTCTCTTTAAGAGACCAAAAGGACACCCAAACAGAGAAGGTGGTGAAGTGTGAAAGCAGTTCTGCAGAAATGAAATGGTAGCAGGAGGAAAACATTTCTGACAGAGAGAAACACAAGTGCCTCTGAAATGGAAATACAGACGTGGAAGGGACAAATGCTCCTACCCTGGCTCCTAGCTGGGGCGACGGCCCCGTCCCAGAGAGATGCCGCAGTGGAGGCTGATGCTCAACCTACGATTCTTTTTTAGGTCATTGAATTCACATTGAACAGTTTTCTGTTCCCTACTCAATGTTTCTACTATATCAGCTTGCAATACTTTCTTTGGAGAATTAGCTCAACCTTCTTTATAATAGACTAGAGGTCCAGTGCATGAAAATTCCCTCAGCCCAGCCTGTGCCCTCTGGCAGTCCATGTACCATCAGGCAGTGCTCCACTGATTGCTTAGGCCCGCTCTCCGCAGGGAGTGGGCCTAAGGCAGCAGGCGGACATCCTTAGCAGTGCCGTGGAGGCAGGAGAGACACCCACCACCACTGCTGCGCTTGCCAGCCCTGAGCCTGTCTTCTGGCTGAGCGGTGCTCCCCCTGTGGGAGTGCACTGACCACCAGGGGGCAGCTCCTGCATTGAGCGTCTGCCCCCCTGGTGGTCAGTGCACATCATAGCAACTGGTCATTCTGCTATTCAGTCAATTTGCATATTAGCTTTTTATTAGATAGGATGCTCTGGAAAGTGTGAGTCAGCCACGATGCCCTTCCCTTCCCTTCCCAGACCGTTTTTTCAGTACAAAAGAGACAGCTAATCAAATCGCTCACTTCTGCACACTACTTCCTAAATAGAGAATCTGAAACTCAGGTCTCTTTAATTATGTGTTCTAAATCCATATTCAATGCTCAATATTTTTGCTATTATTTTCTTCAAGTGTATTGGTACTTTAAAAATACATCTTTCTGTATTATCTTAAAACATTTAAGCATCTGGAAACTATATGTTAACTTATTTACCTGGCCTATTTTTTTACCCTAAAGAATGCATGCTTACAAAGAATTATTTTCTAAGCCTAACTAGGGAATTAAATTAGAGGAACTTTCATAATAAACTATCTCACTGTGTAGAAAAGCTCTACTTTTGTTTAAATGGTTCCCCAGATTTTTTAAAAGACTATACGTGTGTATAGAGATATCACACCTGAACATTTCACACACACACACACACACACACACACACACACACACACCCACACCACTATTACATGGATAAACAAACTAGGAATTAACAATAGAAAAACCAACTTTGAATTCAGGCTTAACCACTTAGTAATTTGATCTTGAGTAGGTACTTTAGGTTCTCTGAACCTGAATTTTTTCTCTGTGGAATAGGGATGTTGGTTGGCACCTGACATGTTGTATGCCTAGTATGGTAACAGACACATTAAAAGTACTCATTAAACATGTCTTTCTGTTTGTTGTAAATCTTATATTAAAGTATGAAGGATAATGCTAAATTTAAAAAATAAACTCAATTTTTTATGATTTCTGAAATGAGTGTAGTTGTGTCATTGGCTCTTTATCAGTGACAAATGATCAGAGAGCGTTCTGAAATGATGATCAAAGCCATATATCTTGTAACAGTTTCTGGTGCTTCTTGCTCTTGGGTTATTGACTTTAAAATGGGAAAGTTACTTGAGGCAAGAGATATAAAAACTGAACACACTGCTTCTTGTGGGTGGAAAGTGGAACAAAAGTTAACAACCTTGTGTGAATACACAATATTTTCTTGATTGATTTTTATTTTAGAAGTTTATAAATAATAACATGCATCTCTCTATATAAAAACCTAAGCGATGGGTTGACCGGTAACTATGAGTGCATAGACCACCAGGGGGCAGACGCACAGGCATGGAAACATGGAGCAGACTGATGAATCTCAGAGGGAAGGGGAGAGGTTGTGAAGAGATTAACCAAAGGTTTTATATGTATAGCAGGGGCCTGGTGCATGGATTCGTGCACTGTTGGGGTGCCTTAGCCTTGCCTGCTGAGGGGATTGGGCAGAAACCAGCAGTCCGACATCCCCCTAGGGGTCCCAGATTGTGAGAAGTTCCATGTTGCACTTAGTTGTCATTTCTCCCTCTTCTCCGTGTTACTGTTCCTCAGCCTTTCCTCATCTTCATGAACTTGACACCTTTGAAGAGCACTGGTTAGTTATTTTATAGACTGTTATTAAACTTGTGTCAGTGTAATGTTTTCTCATGATTAGATTGAGATTTACCATTTTGCTAAGCATACCAGAGAGGTGATGTGCTCTTATCTGTGGATCTCAGGGAATACGTGATGTTAATGTGTCTTACTACATCTGGTATTGTTCACTAAAACAAGGACTTTTAACAGAAAATAACATTTGCTAAAATATAATCTCAAGTAATTCTGCTTATATGAAATACAAACTGAGGGACTTTAACCTTGTTTAAATTTAAATTCCTATATTTAATTGCAGAATCTGTTAGCCGAAAAAGTAGAACAGTTGATGGAATGGAGTGCCAGGCGCTCAATCTTCCGACTGAATGGCGACAAATTCCGAAAGTTTATAAAGACGCCACCTCGAAACTACTCTATGATTGTTATGTTCACGGCTCTTCAGCCTCAGCGGCAGTGTTCTGTGTGCAGGTAATCAAGCATTTAAAAATTTTAAAAACTATTGTGTGCTTATAATATTTATTATATGTAAGATAAATGTACATAATAGAATAAAACAGTTCAATGTTTTAGTCATATATAACAATGAGCATTTAAAAGTAAGCTAAAGTAATTGTATTCTAGCAAATGACATTGATAGGCCAATATTCTTTTATTACATAACATATTTATTGACCGTTTTCATATATAATTATGAAAAATAGTTATCAGTATGTCTTACCTAAAGGTAAGAATGTGATAGAATTAGCATGAATTCTAGGTTTTTCAGTGTCAATGAAATTTTGGGTCATTTTTTCTTTTAATAAAACAGCTATAATTTTTATAATTCTATAGAATATTTATAAAAATTTGTAGTTATAATTTTAAAATCTTTTTGTTTTCATTGTGAGACTTCCTGCTTTTTCTTTAAGATATTTTCTTCTACAGTTCACGCACACTTAGATTCTCCAGTTGCTTTAGGCTGGTGAATGAGCTGTTGGCTTCCTTGTGAGCCCTCTGAGCAAATCATGCTGCTCTTCCTTCACACAGTCAGTTTATTCACAAATTTCAGAATTCAATTCTCACCTTATTCAGTGCTAACATCGAACTCCTGGGCCAAATAAAGTTGTTAATTAAGACAACTCAATACAATTCTCACCTCACTCCCATAAGTGTTAACTCCAACTTCCTTTATCAAATTGTATTAAAGGGAATATTACCCATAATTGCTAAATCTTAGATGTACTCTACCACAAAGTTACTCATCTCGTCCAGAAGTCACAAAAAATTTTGAGAACAAAATGTCCTCTTCTAAGGTTATTACTGTGGATCAATAAGTACACGTAGAGTCATGCAAGATGCATGTATAACCAAAGTTTTGAAGTCTTGGTGAATTGAATAAATTATTACATTAACATATCAAATGTTAAGTAACTAACATCCATCTCATCTGATAAAATAAATTATTGTTTACTATGTGTAAACTATTAGAGTTCTATGTTGCCATATATATTAATATGTGATATATATGACTATATGTATATACTAATGGCCTGGTGCATGGATCTGCACATTGAAAGGAAATTAATTAGGAGAAATATTTTAATATCGCTATTTGCCCTTTCTGTATAATAGAAGCATCAACCAAATTCACGACCTACATGATAGATTGAAACACACACATGCATTTGGCGCCGATGAGAGCTTTATATGCATCTTGCATGTGCGAGTCAATGTGTATTTTTAAATTGCCAGTGCGTGTCATATGTACCTGCAGGTCTGTTTTACATATGCATGTACAGTCCATCACTTAGCCATCACTGTGTGTGTGTGTGTGTGTGTGTGTGTGTGTGTGTGTGTATGTATATATAGACTAGAGGCCCAATGCATGAAATTCATGCAGGAGGGTTCCTCAGCCCAGCCTGCACCCTTTCACAGTCCGGGAGCCCTCAGGGGATGTCCCACTGCCAGCTTAGGCCTGCTCCCTGTGGGCATCCTGCTGCCGTGGAGGCATGAGCCCGGCTTCTGGCTGAGCAGTGCTCCCGCTGTGGGAGCACACTGACCACCAGGGGGCAGCTCCTGCATTGAGTGTCTGCCCCCTGATGGTCAGAGCACGTTATAGCGACCAGTCTTTCCGACATTTAGTCAATTTGCATATTAGCCTTTTATTATATAGGATATATATATATATATATATATTTTTTTTTTTCTTACTATTATAAGGGTTAGGTCTGAAAAAAATCATTTTTTAGATGAGAACCTCAAAGCTGAGAGAGATGATTTACCCAGTCACACAGCTAATACCTGTCAGGTTTGGGATTTGTGGCTCTGGAGCTAATAGAGTTTAACGCTTTTTTAAAGTGTACACATTCATCATTGCCTTTATCCTGTGAACTGTAATTTGCATTTTGCTTTTGTGTTTCCAATTAAGATTATTAATTTTTAAGGGCAGGAATCCATCGCCAGCATTTATTAAACTCATTAGATCATGAAAAGGCTTTATTCAGGCTAACATCTCATAACAGGAACTGGCACATTGGAGATAGCTGGCCAAAACCACGCAGAAAGAGCTATCAGCCTTTTGTTTCATTAAAGCGAGGTCATGTCTCTTATGAGATTACATTTTAAAGTGAGCACAGAAGGTGAAAATTGTGTATAGATAAAATTACCCTTGTACATCACTTAATGCTCTTGTAAGTGCTTGGTAAATGGTTTTGGAACTATAGCCCTTATCATTTCCTCTGTTCCTTAGATAATATTTCTCTATGGCCTTAATTATTGTCACCCTAATATGCCTGGCTATAGGAACAAAAGGTTTCACTTCTTTGTGAAAGACTGGCACTCCCTCATGGCATTCACACATGCTTTGCCTGGTTTGGCTAATACACGAGAACTGTTTCAAGCTTGAATGAATGAATCCAGGACCACTTTAATATAAAGGAGTTTCTAGGGTTATTGCTGAGCTCCATCTAGTTTATTATTTTTTAAGTTAAGGCATATGATATAACTTAACCACATTAAATTTCTTCCTTGGTGTTTCTTGCTGGGTAATCTCAACTCTTTTCAGCAATCTTTAGTTGTCCATTCTCCTTTGTAGCAGTCTCAAGCTCTTTCTGTTTTGTATATTATTTGTATATTAAGTCCAGCATTAGTCCCCTATCTTTATTTCAAACTATAGAAAATTGTAACAGTAGGACATTGATACAGTCTACCTTTTACCAAGATTTATTGATTATTTACATTTTGACACATTTGATTTTGCTCTTCTAAGTATACATTAAACAGGTCTCACATATCAGCAGATGTACATATAATTGTGGGACATCATGAAATGTAACTGCTACATACTGAAGTATGCATCTTTTAAGAAAAGGGAATTCTTACCTTACCATTATTATTTTTAAGTGAATTGATTGATTTCAATAAAGTATTGCTGTACTGTTCATATTTAAATTTTATATTTGTCTCCAAATGTTTTTTATAGCCTATTCCTCTTATTTAGGATGTTGTCAAAGTTCATAAATTGCATTTGGTTGTTAGACTGCTTTAGTTTCTTTCCACTTTTAAATTTCTTGTTTTAAAAAGAATCCAGACCAGTTGCCTTGTGTGGTGTTCCATGCTCTGGATCTCTGTTCTTTCCTTGTGGTTAAATGCAGTTATTACTGTTTGCAGGTAGTTCTGTTGCAGTTATTGTGCATCATCTCAGGAGGCACATAATGTTAATTTCTTCAAATGCCAGTGATGAAATCTATCGCCTAATTAGGTTAATGATTTCCACATTTCCACATGTTTAAACATGTCCTTTTTCCTGTGTAATAAGTACTGGAGGGAGGTGGTGTGGGGAGGAGACACTTTGAGATCTTGTAATTATCCTGTTTCTCAGTAACATTTCACCCAGTGATTGTAGCATTCATTGATAATCTTTGCCTAAATTTGCTAGTAGTGATTGAGAAGTGATTTTTTTTAAATTCTTTTGGTCCTTCTATATTAATTCCCTGAGCTTCTCAAAAGAGGAAAGAGAGGTGTAGGTAAAGCTCTCCTTTATAGGAATAATATCTCAAAGGTTATTATCATAGTCACTAATTCATTACTATAGTTATTTTTCTTCATTATGCAAGTTACCCAAAATTTGACCTGCATGATGTTTCTCTATTAGTCTTTGCTTTCTGGCTTAACCAGACATTCTAAGCCTACTTTGTTTATCTGCAACAGTGTCATCTTAGTTGGGCATGGTGTTGACCGTAGTAGATGCCAGTAGTAGCCCTGAGAGGAGGTCGTAGGGTAATATAGTCAGTTTGCTAGAAATGGATGGGACAATCCCTGACTAACATGGTCTCCTCCACAAAGTAAACAGGCCAAGTTATGCTAAGAGTCCTAAGTCCAATTTGTATTGCATCTTCTGCTTGAAATTATATCAGTTCCAGGTGGGTGCCTTGCAGTGGTAATTATAGTAGTGGAGTCAGGTTGCAATGGTGGTGATCTGTGTCTATAACTCTTTCTATTCTGCTTGTTCATTGTTTGTAGATATGTATTGATAGATATGTATTCACTAGAGGCCCAATGCATGAAATTCGTGCATGGGGGGAAGGGGAGTCCCTCAGCCCTGCCTGCACCCTCTTCAATCCGGGATCCCTAATGCAATCTGGAACCACTGTCTCCTAACCACTCACCTGCCTGCCTGATGTCCCTAACTGCTCCCCTGCCAACCTGATCCCTTTAAGTGCTCTCTCCTCCTGGCCTAGTTGCCCTAACTGCCTAACTGCTCCTTGCTGCCTATCTGCACTCCCTTCCTGGCTTGATTGCCCTATCTGCTCTCCCCTCCTGGTCTGATTGCCCTGACTGCCTATCTGCTCTCCCTTCCTCTCTGTGCCCTTTGGAGCCCTGGCACAGGTGTGCTGAGAGCTCTCTGCCACAGCCCAGCCCCCATCCTGATTGGTCGTTATGTGATAGTGTCCTGGACAATTTGCATATTCCTCTAGTATTAGTATAGATTGACATGTTTATACTATTGTTTATAGTTTTGATCTTTTCTTCTTAAATAAGACCATTTTACATTTCATATGATACTGGTTTGGTTGTGATGAACTCTTAGCTTTTTTTTTTTTTGTCTGGAAATCTGGAAAGTTCTTTGTCTTTCGATTCTGAATTTGCAGGATAGAGTAATCTTGGTTGTAGGTCCTTTCTATTCATCACTTTGAACATGTTAGAGTTGTTTCCTATGGAAATGTGACTACTTAGGTCGGATAAAGGAAAATATAAATGTATAGGAAATAGAGAGCATAATGAGCACAACCAACCTCTTGAATTTATCTTAGCAAGTAGAGAATTAAGCAGAGTCTATGAGAGTATGGTAGGGAACTGTTAAAATTCTCAGCTCTTCAGAGGCATTGGGTCTATTTACTAGTAATATATTCCACTGTATTCAGTAGGGTCCTGGGCATGTGTAACACAGACAGAGAGAAACCACTCTGTTAAAATCTTTCTGTAGGGTGCTGCTTGCCAGCCAGTTTGTTTGTTTTTTTTCTTCAGGACCATAGTTAATAGGTTGTTCTGCTCACACAAGATCTCTGTATATTGATCACTGTCTATAAAAATTGATTAATGTGGGGTTTCATGAAGACATACTTTGGAATCACCATGCAATATGTATTTATATACATTTATACTTCATTATGAAATATGAGTATAAAAAGGTTATCTTGGGATTTTGACATAAATCTGTTATTTTATAGAGCATTAAAGCTAAAAATTAATGTCATGGGAATTATATTAAATATATATAGCTACAGATGAGTTAATTCTTTTTAGTTTTACATAATCTTTAAAAATGATTATAATATAAAAAGTTATAGCATTTGGATTAAATGATTTTTTCCCCTTCTTTTCATAATAAAAATGGAGATTTTTCTAGAACAGATTGATCAAAACTATGCCCTGCAGACATTGCTTAAACCTTCCCTAATGTTTCTGTGCAACATGACTGCCCTCTTCAGGTTAGAACAATTTACTGAAATAATAAAATTAAGCCTAATAATCCTGTGAACTCCCAAAGCAGAAAATATTTGTTTTACAATGTTTAACAATGTTGGAAATAATACTTACTTGACTGAAATATTGGGAGCATTTGTGGTTTTCAGATTTCAGTTTAGATGGCACTGAAGGTTGAAGTGTGCTAATAGCAGTAGTGATGCCTTACTTTGTTATAATGTCCAAACTGACACCAACAGGTGCAAAAATCCAGTGAATCTCTTATTTATCATTAGTTAGGATTCTTCTGTCCCCTACTAATCAGTAGGACGTTGGACTGAGGGGATAAGTGTAATAGAGTTTAGAAAACAGAGTTTAGGTTATTGGGGCATATTCTTTCTAATCAGTCATTTATGCTCTGAATAGATTTCATCAACATGAAATTCATATTTCTCAGGTTCATCGAATTCTTTTTAATAACAAATCTGTTCAGTGGCCCTACTGCTAGTGAATTTTACCCAACAGAAGAAATCTCCCATTTTCCTTGTCAGTATTTAGTTTTTCTCTAAGTATTTTGTGTTGAAAAATTAATTTGCTTGGCTCCTCTAAATTCTCTGTTTGAGGTAGATTTATTCCTAAGTAGAGAAACTTGTGTAGAAAATTTTGCTGGTTACTTTGTGCTCCAGTTTCTAAAGGAGAATATGTAAGAAATAGGTCATATCTTCATTTGTAGTCTATTTAAATAGCTTCATATGTTTTCCCAATTAAACCATTATAATAACCTAGAGGACCCGGTGCATGAATTTGTGCACAGGTGGGGTCTGGCCTACCAGTCTGGCCCGGGGAACGGACCTTGGGAGGTTGGAGGGCCAGCCCCGCCCCCTGGTCAAACAACTGGTTGAACTTTTGGTTGTGAGGACAATTTGCATATTAGCCTTTTATTATATAGGATTCTGAGTGGTTTCTAAACATTTATTTTCTCTTCCTCTAATATATTATAAACACTGTTGCCAGACACAGGTTTTTTAATTAGCATTTTGCATAATTCCCTTCCTTCAAAATATTCCTCATTGTTCAGTTTACAGAATAAAGTCAAAGTCCTATTTATCTCTCCACCAGAAGAGAGCTTCCAGTCTTTTATTTATTTCAGACGGGGTAGTTTTTGTTTACACTGATTCTGTTACCTTAATGTTCTTTCTGTTCGTTCTTATAATTTTAGTTCCTCCATTTTTTTCCTCCATTTTTTACATTTTATATTCACCTTGTCCAACTGCTCAAGTCCACTGTGTTCTCGGCCTCCTCTGAATTTCACATAGCACCAATGATTTGCAACCTTTTAAAATCCATATATATCTTACTTATGTATTAATATGTGTCTATTCCTTTCTATAACAAGCTTCTTACAGGTGGGGACCTGAGATATACTTCATTATTACAGCATATATTAAAATGCTGAATAAATAGCATTGATAATTAAGATCTAGATTCTGTATTTGCATATGAAATTGACATTAAGAACATGATTGATAATTTAGTCATTACAACCTTTTAACTCATGACCACTGATCTTGACAAAGAGCATTTATTTATGATGGTACATAGATTTAAAGTGTTTATTTTTTTTTTCTCCCTAAGACCACCAATAAAGCAAATTAGTCTTACAAGAGACATTATCTTGGGACTTAAATCTGACTAAGTGGACTTTCAGACTCTCCAGAGTTCAGAGTCTCTAGTGATTCATTAGCTTTAGGGTATAAATGATATATTGTCTATTTAGGAAAGTATATTTATTCACCATCATCAACTTTATTAATGCCTTTTCTCTACTGGGTTCCATCCATTGAGCAATCAATGTGTAAATAGATATATTATAATATGCTTAATATGATACAGATATGTACTTAAAATAAGTAGCACTGCAGTGTAACAATTTTCATTTCAGATAGTTATTTGAACAAGTATGATCGGGGTAGAGAGGGAATGACTTCTGAAGGAGAGGCAATTTTTGAAAGAAGTGAGAGCATTCCAAAAAAAGGATTTAATGCTTAAAGAGTGAGCATGGAATGTCATAAAACAGAGGCCTTTTGAGTATGGTATGATCATAGAGAAATAGATAGTAGACATGAGTTGTGTCCAGAGTTTGGAGGATCTTGTCTTCTACTCTTTTTGTCTTTATGATGCAGGCTTTGGGACATTTTTCAGGATTTTGGAATGATAAATTGATCATTGAGAAGTCAAGCTGAAAAAGTGAATGATACAGAGTTTGAAAGCAAAATGAATTCATTTTCTTTGACTCATCAATATTCGTTATCACATTTTATTATTTTTCTCAGAGTACTTGGGATTATCTGAAATTTTGTTTCCTTGTGTGAGGCCTCTCTTTCTCACTGGCATTTTTCCCCCATGAGATCAGGGAACTTGTACACACTATTCACTCCTGCATCAGCTGACATGTTGTTGGCATACCTGTGTATTATGGAGTGAATTAACGAGTGTATGAATGTATGCTTAGTAGATAGAGTCTAGTAGGTCTGTGTTAGGTTCGAACATTATGAGGAAAAGAAATTGAACAGTATCTCTGTTTTATCTAATTCCATTAGATACTATACACAGATGTTGAATACTAAAATTTGATTCTCCCTGCATTTTTCAGAACAAAGCATTTTCATTTTTTAGAATATCATAAAAAAATGCCAGTTTTTGCTGATTTGCTATTTCCCTAAGTTGCATTTTAAAAGCAAAACTATTTTGGTGCAAAATTATAGTTTTTTGTGTTTTTTTTTTACTATAATTCATTCTTCTAATGATTTTTAAAGGTATTACTGGCCTCTTAAAGGTTTATTAGTGTGCAAAGAGGCTCAGACCTACTCCAGTGTCAGGGTCAAGTCACTGAAGGCTTTTTATTATGGTGGAAGTATACTCATTTCTTTACTTACATTTTTAGGAGAGGGACTCCCTAAAACTGTGAAAAATCAGCTACTATAATACTATATCAAAGAACTCTCTTTTTATTAACATTTTAGCAATCACTTTTTTTTATTCAGTTACTATGCTTACATCCTCCAACAATACCATTTCAGTTTCCATCCCTCCACCTAAATATAGTGCTTTATTATCTGGAAAATCAACAAAATGTCCAATAGAAATTAATTGACAATAGAAATAATATGCTCTTAGAGGAGTCTTATTTATATCATTGGCTTTTTTGTGCCCTTTTAATTTATTTATTACCTTTAGGTTTGAATGTAAATGCATTTTTAGATAAAATGGGCTATAAAAAGTTGTAATATAACTGTTTACAACTTTAAAATGTTCTGCTTATTATTTTTCTGTTAAAGTGAGTTGCAAATATTCTTAAAAGTAGCTTTATGCCTTTTACTAAAAGATATCAGAAAATTTAAATATATAAATAGGAGATGCCACAAAATAATTTTATCCTCTAGAGTAAGAGTCGTTAAACTTGATTTTGAAAGTGCCAAGATGGGCTTTTGGCCACATGGCTTCAGTTACAATAATTACACTCTGCCTTTCTATATATAGCACAATAGCAGCCAGAAAAAATATGTCCATGACTCATGTGGCTCTGTAGCAGTAAACCTTTATTAATGAACAATAAAATTTGAATTTTATGTAATTTTCACTTCATGGAATATTTCACCTTTTTTCTATGACCAATTAAAAATATAAAATATATTCTTAGCTTGCTTTTCATATAAAAACTGGCCACTTCTTTCCCTAGAATTGCCTTTTTTATTAACAGCTTTGTTGGTGCTTAAATACTGATGTTTCTACTCTGCTCCATTGTTCTTATCAGGCAAGCGAATGAAGAATATCAAATCCTGGCTAACTCCTGGCGCTATTCATCTGCTTTCTGTAACAAACTCTTCTTCAGTATGGTGGACTATGATGAGGGGACAGATGTTTTTCAACAGGTAAAAGTTATATTTTCTTTTGCTAATATGTGTAATAGAGTTGGTTATGGCTGATATGTTTTGTTTGCCTAATACACATACTATTTATTAAGTTAATAAATACAGTAGCAGTTATAATAAATTGCTTGTTGGGATTTAGTACAGCTAATGTTATTTTTATCATTGAATAGTGTTTGCCATTAGCAAGTACAGTAAACACATTTTAATTTTTGGATTGTGGAGCAAATGTGTTTTGTCATCATGCAATGGCAGTTTACATGCAATAACTTTATTTTGATATTTAATTGAATGTGGTTTAAGGTAGTATTGTGCATAAATGTATGAAATTTTATTTAAAATTTAGTGTTTTAATCTTCTTCCCATATGGCAGATATAATTTTATATACAAAATAATATTTTTTGCAAAGTCTAGTCTATTTTCTGTTGTAGACTGAATAGTGTCCCTCCCAAATTCATATGTTGAAGCCCTAACCCCAATATGACATTTTTTGGAAACAGGGACCTTAAGGAGGTAATTAACATAAAATAAGGTCATAAGGATGGGATTCTTATCCAGTAGGTCCTCATTTACTAACCCTAATTACCTCCTTAAACTGGTGCCTGCGGAGGACAGCACTTCCTAGCTCTGCTTGTGAGGAAGAGACAGGAGGAGTATATGTGCTCAGACATAAAGCCATGTGAGGACACAAAGAAGATGACCATCTTCCAACCAGGAAGACAGTCTGACTAGCAGCAAATCTTCCTGGAGCCTCGGTCTTAGACTCTCAGCCTCCAGAACTGTGAGGAAATAAGCTGCTGTCACTTAAGCCGCCCATCTCTGGTTCTGTTACAGCAGCTGAGCAGACTAATAGGTTGTCATCTAGTCTTCTCCATAAAGCAAGGCTCAGAATTGTGGTATAAGTATGCTAGTTGTCATCAATTTGTGTCATTGTCATTGCTAACAGCAAGGAGTTATGTTCCAAGGACTCTCTTTAGTGCTTCATGTGTATTTTTTCACTTAGCTTCCCAATGACCCACTGAGAAAGGTGTTGTTAATGGTATTTCGCAGATCAGGAAATTAAGGTATGGCAAGGTGAAGTCCTTGTGGGAGGTTATAAAGCTAGCGTAATTTGGGGCTAGAATTTAAGTTCAGCACTCTGGTTCCCAGATTTCTAGCCGTACCCTGCAGTTATTAATGTTTATCTGCTTCACAGGTGCCTTTCAAATATAAAACTTACTGCAGTGCTAGGCATTGATTAGTTGGGGTATCTTGGTCTATTTTATTTTTCTCACATGACACTTTGGCATAATGCTTTGCCAGGTTATGGAGAAGCATTTAGTTTTGTTAGGAGTCTAGTTCACTAACTGGAAAGGGTCATTAATGAGGTTTTTTTTTTTTTTTTCTCTCTCTCTCCCAGATTGATTATTTATTCATCTTTGCCAGTTTCTAGTTGAATAAGATAAATTCCCTCTCTTGCCTTCAGTACCCTTCACCTTTGGTCTTTCTTTTAGTATCTCCATACATTTATTTTGCATTTTGGGGATATTGATTTTTGTTCATATATTCAGTCAAATATCGATTAACTTCCTTATAAAGGAAAATTATAATACTATAAAAGCCACATATTTCAGTAATTTATAGGTCTCTATAGAATCTCATAATTGTCCTTAGAAGTTGTCAGATGGATGTGCTCTTCATTATACACGTGACTCCTCTCTACCATATATGAGCAGTAGTCATCCAAGACCAATCTGAATGCTAGAGCAAAAGCTTCAAGCCCAAATGTCTGTCCTGGACAGGCTGCAAACTAAGCAGAGAGTAGGTTGGATTGGTGTCATTCTGTTACGGTATCTTTGTTTATGCACATACGTAGCCTATTTAACACATTAGTTCTTCACTTGCATGAGAAAATTTGCTCTCTCCTATATTTATTACAACAAAGTCTTTCTTGGTCTTTTAAAAAATAGATCTTTATTGGAGCCTTATATTTCGCTGTTCTCCTAACTACTTTAAGAAATAAAATCAGCTGCACACCATGCAGCTGATCCTTGGGCTCCCTGCTGAGGAAACAGGATGGTGTGGGTGGGGACTGCAGCTGATGGAGGAGAAACAACCCTCCTCTGGGACTGAAGAATGCAGGCCCCATCTAGATGCAGTTTTCAAGAAGAGATCCAAATGCAATTTCTCCATCTTTAAAATATTGGCAGCTAATTCAGATGAAACAAAACTATGAGCCTATTTTGTGCTGGCAGCGACTATAGGCAGTGACAGTATATAACCAGATGGCTGTATGGTTAGAGATAATCATTGAAATATTTTATATTATATGCTTTAAACTTTAAGTTTGGCATAGATAGAAGAGCTGAAATCAAGACCATTTTAAATTGAAAAAGTTCCTCAGGCTAATTTTGATTCAGCAGAATTATGAATATAGATCCACTTTGTCTTTTCCAAAACCTAGCCACTGGCTTAGCAATGAGTTTTCATGTTTAAATGCAGAAATATATAAAAGCTATAGCAGTTAATGATTTTTATGGGTAATTTTAATCCACACAAAAACAGAATTATATATTTCGTTTGACATGAGAACCACTTAAAAGATTTTTAATGCTTACGTTTTTTTTCTCTCATCGATTATTGAATCACATTTTGTTGAAGTACTCTCTCTAAACTGATGCGTTAAGCACTGTCAGCAATTTTGAGCTTTTGGAATACAATATTGATAACAAGTGCAGAAATGTGGCGATTCTTGGCGCGCTGGGGACTTGCTGGGCAAGTGGCTTCAATTACATGTGATTCCTGGGCAGTGGCTGAGGCTCAGTGCCTGACAACAGGCCAAGGAGTTAATGAGCGCGGTGTGTTCGGAGGAGCTCTGGACCAGAAATCAGGCCTGCACTGTACCCTGCTTTATGCAGCCTTGAGGAATTTGTACATTTAATTAAGATGAAAACTTGGAATTATATGATTTTTTTAGCTCTAAAATTCCAGGATGTTAAGCCTTTGTTTGGATTTTGTGATTGCTCCACTGCAGGGACTTTCTTCCTTGAAATCTTCTATTTCCACGTTGGCTGTAGCTGTCCCTGGAGCATCTGTCTGTCAGGGAAACACACGTGAACACAGTGAGGAGTGGGAGAAAACGGAAAGGAACCTGTGACTGTGTTTTGTTCCACTTAACAAGCATTAACTAAATGTCCACAACATGCACCCCTCTGCTAGGTCTTTAGCTCGATGTGAGCCGTGTTCTTATGGGAAATGCTGATCTGTAGTTCAAGTCATGGCTGAAAATCTCTTGGCTTTTAATTTGTGACATTTTTCATAACTCCTGGGCAGCAAGAATTTAATCTGTATATATATTTTGCAGTTTTCTCCTCAAAGCAAATTCATCTAATATTTGTTTTCAGATATTTTATTATTAAAAGCACCATTTATACTATACTAATATTTTACTCAGTAGACTTTTCGAATAGAAATTGCCTTTAGAAAATAATGAGATATAACCACTTTTAAGACAGTTAAGTTAATAGAGAAGTTAAACAGAAAAAGACTATCATTGTGTATTTCTACTTTAGTCTGGTAAAATCAGATTGTTTAGAGCAAAAATGTTGGCTTCTGTAACGGTCATCAGCATTTTTAAAGTTTAATAGAGAGGTCGATCCACTTATACTTTGTCTGAAATTAATTCCATAATCTCTATATGTAGAAGCCTAAGCCACCCTCCAACAAGTATCTATAATGGTCAATGGCCACCAGGGGCAGGAGCTGCTGAGCTGTGGGGACTTGACAGCTGTGGTTCTCAGGTGAAGCTCCTGGGACCAGAGAGGAGGGAGTCCGATTCCAGAGTGCATCACCTTAGAGCTGCCCTCTCGCAATCCGGGACCCCTGGGATATGTCGGAGAGCTGGTTTTGGCCCGATCCCCACAGGACAAGCTGTACACTAGGCCTAGAGTATATTTACATTGTTCATCAGATGCCAGTACTTTTTGTCAAGATATAGAATAGTCCATGCACTGACAAATTGCAATATTTCTGTTTTGCACTTTGAATTACTTCAGATTTTACTCTAATTATGGAATTTAAAGTAGGAAAAGAATTAAGTAGCTGATAAAATATGAATGATGCCTGTTGAATGTGGAGGTTCAGCCTAATTTTTAAGTTATTTTTACTCAGGAGTACCGTAAGGTGTATAAAACAGTAATTAAGTTCTGGAAAGCCACTGGGTTTTCGAATAAATGCTATCTTTCCAAAATTCATGGAGAAAAATACATGAGCTCTTAAATGAACTCTATATAAAGATGTTATATTTAATGTTATGTTTTTCTGTCTTATAGCTCAACATGAACTCTGCTCCTACATTCATGCATTTCCCTCCAAAAGGCAGACCCAAGAGAGCTGATACTTTTGACCTTCAAAGAATTGGATTTGCAGCTGAACAGCTCGCAAAGTGGATTGCTGACAGAACGGATGTTCATGTATGTATTTCTCCCCCACAGTTTTAAATGATAGGCTAATTAGTTTGGTTTGTTAGAGCATTGTAAGAAGGCCACAGATTTTTAAAAATTTTCTTTATGCAGGATTTTTCCTTACTTAGAGAAAACTGTCTGATAGCTATTCTATATAATAGCTATTCTATATAATAAAGAGATATGCAAATTGACCCTCACATCATCACAAGATGGCTACACTTGATTCTTAATTTTTTTAGGAACCTCTGGACTATTTTCCATAGAGGCTGCACCAGCTTATATTCCTACCAGCCCCTTTTCTCCACATCCTTTCCAACACTTATTTATTGTCTTGGTAATAGTCATTCCAGCAGTCATTCTGTGAAGTGGTATCTCATTGTGGTTTTAATTTTTATTTCCCTGGTAGCTACTGAAGTTAAGCATCTTTTCATGTATCTGTATTCTTCTTGGAAAACGTGTGTGCTCAGGCCTTCTGTGCAGTGTTTAATTGGATTGTTTGGTGGTGAGCTGTATGAGTTCTTTATATATTTTAGAGATTAGACTCTTAGGGGAGGTATAGTTTGCAAATACCTTTTCCCTTTTGGTTTGCTGCCTTTTTATTTAGTTGATGGTTTCTGTTGCTGGGCAGAGATTTTTTTAATTTGATCTAGTCCCATTCATGAATTTTTGCCTTTACTTCCCTTGCTTTGGAGTTAAGTTCACAAAAACCCCTTTGAGACCAAGGTACGTTAAGTTTAGTACCCATGTTTTTTTTTTTTTCTGTATATTTTATTGTTGCAGGTCTTACATTTGATTTAATTTTTCAGTATGGTGTCAGCCTTCTAGTTTTATTCTTTTGCATGTGGCTTTCTTTTCTTTATTGTATGTTTTTGCCTCCATTGCCAGAACATTTTTTTTTTTGGCTTGTATGTGTAGGTTTTCTCAGTTTTGTTCCTTGTTCTATTTTTCTGCCAAAACTATACTGTGTTGATTATTGTAGGTTTGTGGTAAAATTTGAGGTCAGGGTGTGTGATAACCTCCAACTGTTCTATTTTAGGCTCATCTTGCATCTGCCTACCTACCCTACCCAGCACTCAATTAGCCATTTCTCCTAGGAGCCTTATTTTTTTTTAGTGGTGAATGCTAGTATAATCAAGGCCTATACATACTGTGAAATCATGAGTTCATACCAATTATGTCTACTTATGAAAAATAGTCTTGATGTGCATTAAAGCCCAATCATGAAAGTGAAAAGACAACACACAGAATGAGTGAAGATCTTTGCCAATCATGTTTCTTAGAATGTACTTATATCTATTGTACAGGGCTCTTACATTTCAGTAACATAAAGATCACTTAAACAGTGGGTAAAGGATCTGAATAAACTTCAAGGAAAGTATACTACAGATGCCCAATGAGTACATGAAAAGATGGCTTGTTATCAGGGCACTGCAATTCAAACTCACAATGAGATACCCAATCACCCCCACAAGGGTGGCTAAGTCATTGAGATAATAAATGTTGGTAAGTGGAGAATTGGAACCCTCATATACCACTAGTGGGAATGAAAAATAGCACAGCCACTTTGAAAACAGTTTCTCAAACTATTAAACACAGTTACCATATGACCCAGCAATTCCACCCCTATATATATACCTAAGAGAAATGTAAACATATGCCCACACAAAATATTGTACAAGAATGCTTATAGCAGCAGCATTCATAATATCTATCAGCTGATTAATGAATAAGTAAAATGTGGTATTCACCCTTGAAAATAAATGAAGTATGGACACATGCTACAACAAAGGTGAACCTTGAAAACATTATGCTAAGGGAAAGAAACCCATAACAAAAGACCACATATTCTATGAAAGTCCAGAATAGGTAAATCTATAGCGACAGAAAGTATACTAGTGGTTGCTTAGGGTTAGAGGGAGGGTAAAAAAGAATAAATGCTAAATGGTATGGGAATTCCTATTGAAATGATCCTAATTTTCTGATTCTTGCTTCTGTTGCATATATCAATAAATATGCTAAGCTGAATTGTACAGTTTGAGTAGTAAATTGTATGCTATGTGGATTATTTATCAATAAAACTGTTTTTAAGAAGCCTTTTTACAAAGGTCCCAATTTGAAATAATACGAATATTATGTCCTCATCTCACCTTTACTATTTGCCATATGATCCCATGTTCTCTGGATTATTAGACCAGCTCTGGGTTGAATATGCAAAAGTAGTTTCACATATGTTTAACTGCAGTCACCTAAATGAAGAGCTAGACCTTTTACATTGCCATGATGTTTCAAGGTATGCATTTTTAATTTGTAAGGAGTGAAAAGAATATTAGTGCAAGGTCTGCAAGTAAGGTGTCCCCTTTCTAAATTATTTGTATTGAAGATTGGAAGGACTTAGAATGTGGTGAGGAGAAAAAAAATGGTACTTTCCTTTCACTTAAAGTTTTCATTGCTTTTTTGCAGATTCGAGTCTTCAGACCACCCAACTACTCTGGCACCATTGCGCTGGCCCTGTTAGTGTCGCTTGTGGGTGGTCTGCTCTATTTAAGAAGGAACAATTTGGAGTTCATCTATAACAAGACCGGTTGGGCCATGGTGTCTCTGGTATGTTACCGCATTCACTTCCCCCTCTGTAGTTTGTAAAACAGCCTAAGCTGTCTAATGTTAGCAGAATGAGCCAGACTGTGACTGTAATGGAAACACACCGCACCCTGTCTTTCAGTGTATAGTCTTCGCTATGACTTCTGGTCAGATGTGGAATCATATCCGTGGACCTCCCTATGCTCACAAGAACCCACACAACGGACAAGTGGTAGGTGCACTTCCTAAGCATCCATACTCTCAACTGCAATTCTGTTCATTTAGGACGCGGAAATTAGGGTTAGCGTTCAGGAAGAAAGGGTTGTCTGTGTGAATCCGTGTTCTTTCTCTCCTCATTTGCTACCTCTGCCATGTACGTGCACATAATATATATTTGGTTTTTCTTTTTTTAGTTCGGGACTGCTTTAATTTTGATTTAAAAATCAGCCAGTGTACCTACATCAAATTTATATGCATAAACTGTTTTTTCTACTTATATATGATGGTCACAGGAGGAAATAGGAATAGATGTAGGCAAATTGGTGAAAATCTAAAAGGAACTGCAAAGTTCATAAGCACAAAAATGGTGTGCCAGTGTCCATTTCCATTGATCCGGATGGTAATGGGAGTTCTGTGCTTTGGCATTGGGCTTAATAGCTGTACTTTGTAATGTTGCTGCCTCCCTGTCTGCATTTAACAAGGCATGGCATCTCTCCTTTTCCCTTCTCTTACCGGAGCCTTTTGGGGTCTGCCTCCTGCCTTGATGGCTCTATGGAGCTACTAGAGGGGAACACGGACTGATCAGAGCCCACTGTTGGCTAAAGCATGCAAAGCCAGGGCTTTTTCTGTGGAACACCATTAAGTCTTGTTTTAGAAACGTAAGATTCGCAGCCACTGCTATTTCTTCCACACGTTTAACTATGGAACCTGGTAGCATTTAGGTGCAATATTTCTTTATTTGTAAAATGTCAAAGTAAATACAGTTTATAAAGTAGATATAGTTGATGTACCAAGGCCACATTAAACGTTACTGCCTTCGGAGATTGGCTGTCTTTCAGGAAGAAGTGACGGTATGTTTGGACTGTAAAACTCGTGTTATGCAACCAAGGATGAACCCCCCTCCTTGCCAGGCTGTCTCAGCTGTGGGGCAAGTACCCACTAAGGGAGCTAGTGTTAGGCCCAGGGGTGCTGCCAAACGCCCTGCCGTGCAAAGGGCAGCCCCCAAAAAAAGATCATCGGGCACAAAACATAAGTGTTAATAAGGAGAGACCTTGGTTTAGGGCTGGAGAACCTTAGTAAAATTTTGCAGCCAAGGATATCATCTCATCTAGCAGATATACCCCAAGGATGACTTTATAAAAGTGTTTTTATATGGAAGTAACCAGTGCATTGTAGACATTGACCGTCATCAGTAAATATGACTGATGTAAATAGTTGGGGTGCAGTAGTGTTCTTTAACATATCTTAATAAACATGGCTTAATCTGTGCCATTTTACAAGCTTAAAAGAGGTTTATGTTAAGAGCAAACTCTTTGCCCTTCTCTTTGCCTGATACTTCAGAATAAACAGGAAAGAAAGCAAGGTTGAGTTCGTCCGAAGCTCTGCCTCTTCCAGTTACACTATTTGGGGGAAGTTACTCAGTCTGTCTGTTCTTCTATAAGATGAGTCTAATACAGCTTGTCTTACCTTGCCGTTGTCTATGAGATAAAATATGGTATTACGTGCATTAGCACTTCTAAAAGTTAGTGAGGGTTCTTCTCAAAGACATGATGCAGAGGACAATAGTTTGTATCAGAGGAGAAGGAAACATGGGACAGAAGAGGAAAACTGAGTCCAGAAAGAGAAGACAGTCAAAAAAGTGTCAGTCAGTGATGGGGGGTCTCCGGGAGCCAGAGTAAAACAGGTGGGAGGGCAGCTGGGTATTTATATGCCACCTCTCAGCCCCGTGCTGAGTGCCCTTTCCCTGGGAAGGCATTGCTGCCCCACGCTGGTGGCGGGAGTCAGGCTGAAGGTGTAGGGGCCAGAGAACACACAGGACACGCACAGGGAGTATACACTGCAATGCCCAGTGATGTGCTAGCTTTATTCTTTTCTAGTTGATTCCAAAGCAAAGGAAAGGCGTTGAGAAGAACTAGACTTCTGAATTGGTGTTGTTAAGATATGCTCTGCAAGAAATAGCAACGAATAGTACTCAAAATGTCTCACCAATTGTGGGTAATTTTTTAAGCCAATGTCATGTGTCTTGTAAACAATCCTGCAAGGAAAGTGTAAAAAAGTGTATATATAAAGAGTATCCATCAGAAATGATATAATTCTTACTACACAATGTAACAATTCTTATGAGATGAAGAGATATAGTGTTTCCTTATAGTAAGTTGGTTATCGATGCTCTGACAGCAGGGTCTGTGTTTTGCATTGCATTTTGGAGAAGTGGTATGTATGACCGTCCTCTGAGCTAGTCGCCCCTACTGCTTACTTGCCTCAGATCCTGCAGTATACTCTCAGGACACATTGGCCAGAATGGGTAAGATAGTTTTTGGTCATGAACTGAATTGATGCATAATGAACCGATGTTATCCCTGGACTAGTGATTCTAGCTTGACTAGTTATGTTTTCTAACTAGACTGAACTAACTAGATCAGGCAGGGTGCATAAGACTGGCGGGGGGAGGTTGTTGGGTCCTCATTTAGCTATTTCTTTTAAAAATATTAAACATATTCATATGCAAATTGTGGAATAAAACATGTCTAGATGAATCTAAAAATGCTACGAGAATAAGTTTCACTGTATTAAACTTAAAATCTAAATACAGAGAAAGAAAAGGAATAATGCAGACAATATGGTGCTGTGCTAATTGCAAGCTTATTTGTTTTTTCCTATTAAGATGCTATGGAATGACACAAGTACTAATGGTCCACTTAACAGCATGAAAGTCATCACAGAAGCAGCCATTAGTGGGTAGCTAAAAGGAACCTATATATTTGGATAGTTACCTGGGGCATAAAGACATTTTTTGTTGTTAAAAAAAACCAATCATTTTAAATGAAATGCATTCATTGAGATAAAGCTCATACTTAGGTTATAACTTCCAACATAAATAAATGCATTTTTTAAGATTTGGCCTTTTATCTGCTGCCTAAAGATTGCTCTGGGTTTACCAAATACAATCCAAAAGTTTCCGCTGCATTGCAGTTCAGTTGTTAATAGAACTAAGAGCCGTGTTCTACGTGCACTGCAAAAGCATTTGACTGCAAAATGGCATATAACATACGCTAGAATTTATCATTAAGGAAGTACGCTTTGTTTCAGGCAGCCTAGCAGCCTTATACGTTCATGCCTCAGGGATTTGCATAAGCTTGCTCTTTGAGGGACATACTTTAGTAACAAGTTGAAAGTTATATAGGCTTATTCAAGCTAACTATAATTATTTTTGTATAAATATATTTACAGGGATGTTTACTACGTTTGCTTACTTTCCATACCACCAGAAAAGAGAAGGTCAATATATGAAACTTTTTAAACAAAAAATTAGAAGCACAATACTAAGATACTAAAGATATGCAGAAAGCTTATGGTAGATTTCACAATTGATATTCTTCTCTTTAATTTGTTCATTATTTTTTTAATTGATTTTTACAGAGGAAAAGAGAGAGAAACATCTATGAGAGAGAATCATCGATCAGCTGCCTCTTGCACACCTCCTACTGGGGATGTGCCTGCAACAAAAGTACATGACCTTGATCGGAATCGAACCCGGGACCTTTCAGTCCGCAGACTGACGCTCTGTCCACTGAGCCAACCTGGTTTCAGCTGTTCATTATTTTTCTATACAATCCATATTTGTTGAGAGCTCATTAAATTCCAGGCACTAGCCCGGCCAGTGTGGTTCAGGGTTCAGCATCAGACCTATGAATCGGGAGATAACGGATCAATCCCCAGTTAGGAACATGCAGGAGGCAGCTGATCATTGATTCTCATCATTGATGTTTCTCTTTCTCTCTCTCTCTCTCTCACTCTCTCTCTCTCTCTTCCTCTCTGAAATCAATAAAAATATATTTAAAAAGAATTCCAGGCACTATGCTTTCCAATATCATGGAGCTCACAGATATTGCACATGGATTTGCCCACATCCCAGTCATTAAAACCTTCCTTGCTTCTTACTGCATTGCTGGTACTAGAAGCTGGAATTGTTTTAGATTTAAAAAAAATATATTTTATTGATTTTTTTACAGAGAGGAAGGGAGAGGGATAGAGAGTTAGAAACATTGATAAGAGAGTAACATCGACCAGCTGCCTTCTGTACACCCCCTATCGGTGATGTGCCCGCAACTAATGTACATGCCCTTGACCGGAATCGAACCCGAGACTTTTCAATCTGCAGGCCGACACTCTATCCACTGAGCCAAACCGGTTTTGACTGTTTTAGAATTTTGTTCAGTACCATGATCACTTTGTTGTTATGACTCTGCATTTTACTTCTTTTGCCTTTTTAGTCTTTTGATTTTCACAGTTTTGTCTGCCTAGTTGGCCTTTGGTAAGACTCTTTGCCTTTCTGTCCACCTAGTGTGACTTCCGTCTTCACAGTTAGCTCTATGCACTCTTGATTCTGACCTTTGACTGATCTTGGTTACCATTTTTGTAGCCAACCCAAACTGCTGCTATACTTCCTTTCAACTGTTGTTACCTAAGATAGACCATGGGATTTGTATTCTACTTCCTAAAAAAGCATTTCACACAGGACATACACTAAGTAAATAATGGCTGAATAGATGAATAAATGTTCTTCGCAAATAGGAATTTAAGTTATATTTTCAACATTTCAAAAACGTTAAATATATCAGGGGAAACATTGTTTTTCCCTCCAAAGGTTTGTTTGTACTTTGTAATTAAAATTTTGAAAGCACATACACAGAGGGATTATACAACTACAAAATGAGAATGTGTTTAATATGTCACACTTACTCTGAGAATCCAGAGGGGGGAAAAATGGAAAACAAAGAGAAGAATTGACTCTCCTGCAGAGAAAGGAATAAATTACTTGTTAATTTGTTCATGTTGTTCAAACTTTTTCCAATTTTGGAAAATTATTTAGTACATTGGAAAGAGTAATGTACTACATAGACCCCAGTAGTCCTTAAAAACTAAAGAAATTATTCTCATCCTATCAAAATTAATTTAATTGTATGAACATAATTCATAATAAGCATATTCAGTCTAGTTTTTTAAAAAGCA